ATTCAGTTACTTGCCAGTTACATAATTCGTTGCTGTACTGAATAATAGTTTTCAAATATTCGAGAAAATATTCCCTTCATATTTATGCTATTCATAGTGTAATGGCCACAGGATTGACTTGCATTGTTAATATTTGGTCCATCTCTTTCTTATGTCCCAATTACCAAAAAGAAAAAGAAAGAAACAAACAAAAAAAAACCACTGAAATTTTTGTGGTTGCCAGTTCTCACAACCAATGTCATGCTACCAGTGTGACATTTTTTGAATTCAAAGTTGAGAAAAGATTCAGAGTTTCACAACATTTTGTAATGTTTCTGTCATACAGATACAATAAATGCAAATACCCTTGCGAGCACAGGCAGTAGTAGCTAGGAATGAAGGAGTTTTGAATCATATTGCTATTGCTTTAGAGAGAAATCATTTAATGTAATTATAAATTTTTATGACGATTCTAAATAATGGCTGTATTTAACAACTGGATTGCAGATTTCTTAATATTTAGCAGTGAGCTAAATAAGAGCTGGTAAAAGCCTGTATGAGCATGCACTATTTATGACCTAGAAATTATACTTTAGATATAGATCCTTAGAAATTTGTTCACATACCCTCAAGACACATGCACAGCAATTTTTATGACAGCGTCTTTTTGTTATTGTCAGATATTAGAAACCATCCAAAGGCCCAACCATGGTAGAACAGAAAAATAAATGGTTGCATTTCCATAGCACGGAATATGAGTCAGTAATAAAAATGGAATTACTGTTCTTGCAGATTCAACAAACAGAAATTGAGCCAGGTGTAAGAGTTATTTCAGTCCGAGCCCATTTCCCTAAGTCTGAAACAGAGGCCACACTAACCTAATCTCGGTTGTCTTCTGGAGGGGAATAGGATGGGGAGTTTCTGAGAGTGGCCTTGGAGAAGCTCCCGAGCACTGTCTGTTTCTTATTCTTGTGGCTCCATGAGCACTTACAGCACTAAATGTCACTTAGTCGTGATGTTAAGGATGTTATACATCATGAGAAAGTCCACCTTAAAAAGTCACCAGGGGTCTTACTTTGCTTTCTTCACAGCTCCCCAGCAGATGATTCCTGATCCTCTAAAGAAAATGAGGAACTTGCTGGAAAAGCGAAGATGACTAGCTGCGTGTGGCAGAATCTCTGGAAGAGAGCGAAAACCAGTTCTGGCCCAGATCAGGGAATGAATATGTCTTACAGAGGTAGGAAAAGGCTTTTCTTTATTCTTGGAAAAAAATTGTAAGTTATAATCTTATTAAATTAAAATTTAGGGAAGGCAGTAGAAACCACTGAAGAAAGGGGCAGGTTCCACGCATGTTCTCAAGGGGGCGCAGCGAACGTGGGCAAGCCTGAGAGGTTACCCATCCCAAAGGAGGGCGGGCGTTCCTACGGCCCTCCTCTTAACGCCCTTCGGTGGTGCATTCTGATTCCCGTTGAAGATCTTTCAGGGACAGCGATATTGCCCTCAGAGGGTTTGCATTATGTAATGCACTCTGTCACAAAAGAGTTCAGCCCTGTTTGAGGGTTTTTTTTTTTTTTGTTTTTTTTTTGAGTATATGAATTTCTTTTTTCGTAAATGTTTTTGGCTTTGCTTACTTACGGTACTGAGAACTCCATGGCCTTTGAAATGATACAGGATGTTCTGTAATGTTAAATAAATCAATCAGCCAAGTACATTTTAAACATTTTGTGCAGGAAATTCTAGAAGGTCATAGTTAAAAGGCATTTAAGTCAAGTAATGTGTTTAAATAGAAATAGAACCAAGTATTTGGAAGCCTGCCTTGCGTTTCTATTGTTCATTAAGAGGGAATCATACTCACCCTTTACCTTTTTCTGAATGTTTTAACTCTCAAGAATCTCAAGCCCCTTTATCCCTATGTTTAATAAGAATTTTATTCATTTTTATTTATTAAGAATGATACGATTGTCAAAGAGAGTGTCTACACAGAATGAGATAATCAGTATTAACAAACTGATATTTACCCTCTACTAACTAAATGAAACTATGATTTGAGTGGCTTCTGTAAAATTAAAAGCTGCTTGCAAGTTCCCATTACGACTACTGGTGTCTCTGAGATCAAAACACTGGCTGGTGAACTATGGCTCCACCATCTCCTCACTATGGCATCAAAGCCTTTAAGAGTACAGTAGTACAAACTCAACTGAGGCGAATAATTTTGGATACACTAACTAGTAGTTAGTCTTAAAGTATTCCGCTGGCATTTGTCAGCCCTTTACTTTGATTTGAAACAGAAAGTTATTATAGCAGTATGGAATTTTCCCATTACTCAGTGCTTTGTATTCAATTTGTGAGTTGGCTGCACTGACAGGGATTCTTCTCATCATCTGACATCACTTAGTAGAGAGTATAAGGGCAGCAATTAAAAAATCATCCCCTGTGTAACGGGAAGAAGAGTGGGACAGAGGTGAAAATGATTGCCCAAAGTAAGGACCGAGATGCTATGCCAAATAGGGATTTCAGTTACTCACATTAGCCATGCTTCTCTTTGGAAACAGTAACCTTTCCAATGCTGAATGGCTATAGAGTACTTTACTAAATCTTTTTAGCAATTCTTACAGAGAAATTAAGGAGTATGTGGTTATCTTCATTTGTGTATATGAAAATGTAGCCTAGGATAGCCTACGATCCATTTTAGGCCTCTGTCCAGTAAACTATTAGAGATCCTGAAGTGCTGTTGTAGGCTGAATGGTGCTTCCTCCAAAAGATCTACTGAAGTCCTTTCTGGGAAGGAGAAAGAGTCATCTGAAGACAGGCCAGACTGGAGGGTTGGAGCTGCAAACTGAGTATGGCTAAGAATCTACAGCCACCGCCGGAAGAGAAGAAGGTCTACTCAAGAGCCTCAGCAGGAAGACAGTCCTGCTGATACGTGACTTTGGACCTGATGGGAAAGAATGCATTTCTGTTGTTTTAAGACACACAGTTTGGGGCATTTTACTATGAAAGCCTGAAAATATCAAGATAAGAGCAAATACTTACAGTTCATCTGAAGACATGTATCATGGAGGCAGTAATTTCTCTGCAATGAATCTCTGACTTTCGTAACTGCACCTGGATATTTCTGCAAATGCTGACATAAGGATAGAGACAAGTCCCTTACAAGGATTCCATCTCAGTTGTGGTTGCAGCTTTCTGTATCTCACCATCAAAGAACCTCCCCATGGGAGAAAAAACTTCAGTGTGATTCCAATCTGTTCCTCTAAAAGTGGCTTAAAATTCTGTACATAATACTCTTAGTTTTTCCCAGGAGACCTGAGAAATGAGCCAGGATCAATCCAGAAATGCCAGTGTTTCCATGCTGAATGCTTATTGAGTAACACACTCCAGTCAGAGAACAACCTAAAAAAAAATCTGGAAGAAAAACTACTTTCTTATACTAATGCTACACCACACACACACACACACACACACACACACACACACACACACACACAGAGTTTCCCTAAGGGATGCTTTACAAATATTTTTTGCTGAGACTTGGACAGTGCTGTAAATTTTGCTCAATTGTTTATCAAAAGCTAGAAATCTAGCTTTTGATAAACGGGATCTGTGGTCTAATAAGTTTAGGAAAGAAGAGCATTCTCTGTTGCTGGAATATCTAGTATGCATGCTCACAAATTACCTTCTCTAAGAAATATGGTTAAAATGTAGACAAACTATATTAGCCAATATTGTATTTCTCTAAGTTAAATGATCGTGAAACTCCTTTTTCTTACATTATAATAATGCATGTCTAGAATATACCCTGAGAAACGTGGGCTATTCTATGTTTTATATCACTAAGTATATTAAGTTTACTTTATGTATGAGAAATTATTTACCATGTGCTGTACAAGGTTGACTAACTGGAGAGTGGATCTCTATAGAGGAGACGTACAGTGAAGTAACTGGCCATGAAGGATAACGTGTAGGGTCTGTGCAAATAATGAGAACCCTTTTAAAAAGTAAAGAACACCAGATGATCTTGCCAGCACAATTCTAATGTTCTTGCTAAGCCTTAGAATAGTCCCATGAGGGAAAGTCTCTGAAGTTTACCTTCTTTATAAAATCCACCTTTGCCTAAAATATGATTATCTACATGAAATAATAGAAACTCAACAGCGGTAGCTGTTGGAGCTTGTGTTGTATGAGGTTCCTTTTACCTTATTTCTCTGTCATCCCAGGATGCTGTTTTCGACCCTATAGTCCTGATCCAGGCAGCAAGACTGAGGAAGGGCTAGACAGGTGAGCACACCCCAGGCCTCAGGAATATGCTCCCCTCAATGTACCCAAAGCTGCCGGCTTCCATAGGCCAGAATTTAGTCACATGGTCTTCAAGAGCCACTGAGAAAGTAAAAAGGACGACAGCCATCCTAAATGATCAGATGACTCAGGTAAGTTTCAAGGGTTTTATTGTTGCAAAAAAATAAAGTAACTGTTAGGGAAGCTCATATTCTCTGTTTCTGTCTCTGTCTCTGTGTCTGTCTCTGTCTCTGTGTCTGTCTCTGTCTCTGTCTCTGTCTCTGTCTCTGTGTCTGTCTCTGTCTGTCTGACTCTCTCTCTGACTCTCTCTTTCTCTGACTCTCTGTCTGTTTCCCCACACTCTTTTTTTCTGTCTCTCTCAGCTTCTAAATGCAAAATCTCAGTTTCATTATCTATCAGTAATAGCATGTGCTCGGAGGCAATGTTGGCCTTTAAACCATCAGACCAAACTTGTACTAGATGTGCTTTTTAGAAAATAAATTTTCTAAAAGAAAGGAAAATAGAAAAGATGCACAGACTATAGGGATTCCTACATTCTTTGTAAGCAAATAATACATTCATCACCCTGTGAAGTCCCAGAAGACATGACTGAGCCTGAGGTAAAAAAGATGCCAAGGGAGATGTAAACAGACAGGGGAGGGACAACTGCCAACTGCCAGGCTTCGCCTCCCTGGAACCCAGGAGTGCTCACCCCTGGGCGGGCCTGGTAGTGTTGACTGGAAATAATTTCACTTGTCTTAAAGAGCCCTGAAGCTTGCAGTCTTTCCTGGTGGGGAAAAGCAGGAAAGTTTTATTGGAAGATGGTTTAAAAACCAAAATCTGTACTTAGACTGTTTGGGAGAGACAAATGAAGTAGAGGATCATCTGCAAAATATGAGGAGGCAGATTTTTGACTCTCTGAGCCGTGTATTCCTATTGACAGCCTGATCGTTCCGCTCCAGAGCCTGTCAGCACTTCAGCCAGCAGCAGAAGATTCCTGGGAACCATCTTTGGTGTTTGGCAGGCTCCTTGCCAGGGCCAACGGCGTGCCCCTTCAGCATGCAGGGTTTGGAATCTCTTTCCAGTGGACTCCTGGAACAAAAGGGCCCTTTTTCACATTCTGGAAGAATCTCTGCCTGTGGAGGTACTGTTCAAGGGATGCCAAGTTCCTGTACTCAAGGGGGTTTATGCTGTTGTGTGAGATATATATACATATATTTTTTTTTCTCATTTTATTTTTGCAGAGCTGTGGTTTGGATGCAAGAACTTACATGTTCTTGGCACCACCAACGACCCCTTCAGCCCTTTGTTGTTTTAAAATGAGTTTAAAAGAGATGTGGTTGAAACTAATACACACAAGGGAAAGGTGGGAAAGGTATCTGTCTAGGTCACAGTGGTATCTAGATGCCGTTTCAAACCCACTTGATATTTTCCTATTCTAGTAAAGCAGAAAGGTTCAGTCTGTGGTGTATAAAGAATCATTATGACCTTCCATTACAAGGACCTTTCAACAGTTAGTCTGTTGAGTCTCTTAGAGTGTCCTGATATGAAGTGAGCTACAATCAAATTGAACTCAACAAACATAATTCTTAACCACATCAAAAAAGATTGGCAAGGTATGACCAAGCAATCATGGTGCCTGTCTTAGGTGAGCAATCAGGTGAGTGATTAATGGTTTCATTACTGTACACTGATATAGAAAAGTCTATTTAGTCATATTTAAGTCCACTTCACCAATTAGACATATAGTACCTGTGCATTGTAAAGATTCCTGGGTGGTGATGGAAGCAACACACAAGGCAGCTGTTCTTGATCCCCTCCCAAGTGAATAGTCAGTGGGAGAGGACTATTCGCTTCAACAAATAAATGTAATTCACCATATTTTGTAATTGATGCTAAAATACAAGCAGTAATAGTAGATCCCCTCTTTGGTGATTTACATATTTCCAAAATTATGCTATATAATTTATATGATGTTAATAAATTGCATGACAACTCTCCATATGATAAATGAAAAAAAAAAGTTAGGAAAGTAGCTTAATGTGGGTCACTTGCCTAGCATATACTGAGGCCTTGGGAGCCATTCCCAGTTCGACAAACAAGATAAAAATTTAAAACCTGAGTGACAGGATAAGGCAAGTAACTTGTCAAGGAGCCAGGATTTAGATTCAAATTGCTAGACCTTTGCCCTTTGCCCTGCAAGACGCACATTTGATGTATGATGAGGATTTGACTGCTTCTGACTGCAGTCACCACAGACTGTCTTGCAGAAGTATCTACGTTCAGTCTTGCAGGGTACATAAGATTGTGGCACAGCGATGAGAAGGGAATAAAATCATCACAGAAGAGTATAGAGATGGTTTAAGGGCTTGAAAGCAGTCAGATTTGGTGGCAGCCTAGGGAGATTAGCAGAGAGGTAACACAGGGCAGTGAAGGAAGGCAGCTGTGGTGGGGCTTAGGGCAAAATCACAGCTGTGTAACTGGGTTTCTTCGGTAAAATGAAGATCACACAGAATATTGGACTCTCTGTCCAGTTACGGACCTGCCTTCCCAGTCCCGGAATTTTTGGTTCCTTCTTTCTCTTTTCTATCTCTATCCACGGAGAGTTGCTCTTTCCATCTTTTTATCCACCGCTGACCCTCATCTCCATCCTCCAACCCCTCTCCAAAGTAAGCCACATGATTTTCCAGCTGGTGAGACTATGAGACTGGGTGTTCTGTGATTTACCAGATCCATATTCCCATGAGTTCAAGGACAAGCCCAGAGAAGAACTCTGCTACTGTTTCTGTGTTCATGTGGAAGGCTCCTAGGTGTGAGTTCAACCTGAGGAAGAGATAAAGCAGTTGCCCTTTATTCAGTTTACCAAGGAACTAAAGGACCTTGGCAAGGTCTGTGATCTTGCTAGAAGATAGAAAGTCTTTTTAGATATGGTTTACAACATGAGTAGACTCCCTTATCACCTCAGGTCTTTAGCTTCTTAAACCCCTCCAAATTTACCTTGCTGAGAGACTTGCACTGAAATCATCAAATCTTGGCTCAACTGTGAATAAAGGGGCATCTCATGTGCCTGGTATCTCTTGTGCTTTCTGCATATACTTATGGTTATGAACTCTAGCAAAGTAGAGAAAGGAAAAGAACAAGGTGGGAAAGGAAAGACATAGGAATAAGTAGGAGAAAGAAGAACGAAGGAAGAAGAAAGAGGAGAGGCGGGAGAGCAAGGGAAGATGCACATGCTCTAACTCAGAAAAGGCAGAAGTCTGGTGATAGGTGTCTGCAGGGCTTGGGAAGAAGAACGGTAAAACTCCCTGACTGGCTAGTTGGCCTTCCTCTCCCACCCTCCCGCCCCTTTTTTCCTCTCTCTCTTTCTCTCCCTCCCTCACTTCCTTCCTTCCCTCCTTTTTTCCTTCTTTTCTTACCTCCTTTCTTCCTTCCTTCCTTGCTTTTTCTTTCTTACCTTTCTATTTAGTGGTACTGAAGATTGAAATCATGGATGGGCTTCACACACAGCTAGTTCTCAACTCTTTTAATTTAATTTTCTTTTATTTTGAGACAAGGTCTCCTTAAATTGCTAAGTTTATCAGGCTGGGCTTGAACATGCAATCCTCCTGACACATCTGGCCTAGGCTTCCTCGGCCTCCTCTCCTCGTACAGGGCTGCAATTAGAGATGCATGCCACTGTGTTTTGCTCTGGCTTCATGTTTTTTTAGTTCTCTAACCAGTAGGAAGAAAAATTTATAAAATTCCATTTAACTGTAGAAACAATTCCTGGACGCTTATTACTGGCAAGAAACTGTTCTAGATGTTAGGCTTGAAGAGGAAAGAGAAAAAATAACTTCCCTCTATTTAGTTTCCCAAAGAACTAAAGTGCAAAATAGTTTGCTAAACTTTAGTAGGAAAACTTAGTTCTTCCAATTTACTGCACATTCTATAAAATACCAGATGACAGACTGACTCCCAAGAGCTCTAAGAAGTTGGAACCAGGTGTCTTCCAGGCCATTACATAAGCCAATAGCATTTATTAAAAAGAGTTCTCTTTTGTAGATTTTCTGTATTCTAGAAACTTCAGTCACCTTTCTCACTTCTGAGACTATAAAATCATTCAGAGATGCTAAAAATCCAACAAATGCCTATTTAAGCAAAGACAGGTCCTTCTTACAGCCTGTGAACCAATACAGACCCTATCTTTTCAAATTTCTTCATAGATGACAAAAAACAAATGTTTGAAATAGTTATAAACAAAGGAACACGTAAGACATTTGCAGAAGCACACATTTTTTAAAGCAGATCTGAAAGAACACTGTTTTGACTGTTAGATTTATCTCTAAGAACACAACCCTAAAAACAGCATGATTCTGTAGAGCTTTGCAATGTTCCTTCTCTTTGTTCAATAGCATCTTTATCTTCTGGACATTATGCTCCTAGGCAGAATATAAACTTTGTTCCTTTTTAAAAAATTTTTTTATTTAAGGAAAAAAAGAAAAAAAGCAGAAAAAGGGTACAAGTTATACAGAATTTCAGAAAAAATAAACAGTAGGAAATCACTAGTTAATGGATTACATATTGTCATCTTAGAAATATTTGTTCAAGTTACAAGATTAAAGCATATAAAGTGGACATTCAAACAGTGAGACTGCAAACAGTTCTGTTCGATGACCCAACAAAACTCAGTAATATCATTGTCTATCTTATACACTTAAATTTACATGCAGTTATACCATTTAGAGCACTTTCTTTTCCTCTCTTTTGTACAATGACTATTACACATTTTGGATTTTTTTTTGGAAGAGAGTAAAACCAAATGTGACTTAACAGAACAGAATCAGTTAAATCAAAAGGGTGGACATAATAGATAATGTAAAAACATAATACAAGGTGATCAACAATGGTTACCATAATGCCTCCCGCTATCTCAAATAGAGTTGCCTATATCATCAGTTATAATACAATTGAACAAAACAGTAAAGAACGAAACCAACAAGACCAAAACATTGAAGACATTACAGGTCTTCAAAAATAGATAATAGTCAACCAGTATGGGCGTCATAATGAATCCCACTATCTTCACAGCTGTGCCTAAACTTTCGAACCTGGTACTATCAAGCAAAGCAGAATAGAGGAACATCAGTCAAAACAAGATGATGAGAGCAATACAGGACTTCAAATCAAGTTAATAGAATATCAAAGTGGGTTACTATAATATATCCTGCTTTTTTAAAATTTATTTTTCCTTTAATTAAAAGGATAATAAAAAAGTAAATAATAAAATGGAGATTGAGATAAAAGAGGGCATAACAACTAAACAGTGCAGATCAATACATAACTATTTAAGCAAATTAGTGTTTCACCACAAGAAAATCCCAACATAAAAGTAGTTACCATATTGTCTCTTTCCTTGAAATCTTTGAGTATAACTTCGTATACTGTAGCATCAAATATATCAACATAGTGTATAACCATTCAAGAGAATGACAGTATTACAGGGTATTTAGAATCAACTAACAGATAATGAACTATGGTTTCTGTATAATCTCCTTGTCTATAAAAGTTTTTGTTTGTACTATCACATATAATAAAATCCAGTAAGATACAACATGTTAAGACCTATGGGGACAGAAGAACAAAAGCTTGATGGGACTTCAAAATAAGATGATAACAAATCAGCACTTCTCCAAGATAGCTGTTCCTATCATCCAATCTTCTCTGCCTCATTTCTGTTGAGCTCTTTTTCTGTCATTAGTTGTCAGCTTGTCTTCTTCATTTTGTTTTCTGCTCCATTCATTGTGGCCCCTCTGCCACTATTTCTAGATTCTTCGTATTTTTCTTTTTTAGAATATCCTGCAGTATTCTCTGTAGAGTTGAATTGGTGGTTGCATATTCCCTTAGTTCCTCTTTATCCTGAAAGCACCTTGCTTTTCCATCAATTTCCAGGGATAGTTGTTCTCAATATTGGCTGGAGGTTATTATCTTTCAAAGCTTGAATTATTTCCCCCCACGCTGTTGGTGATTTGATGGTTTGTGCCAAGAAGTCTGCTGTAATTCTGATGGGTGTTCCCTTGTAAGTGATTTGTTTCTTGTCTCTGACAGCTTTTAATATTCTGTTCTTATACTGGATTTCTGGAATTTTGATTATAATATGCCTGGGTGTACCTCTATTTGGGTTGTAGGTAGCTGGAGTCTTGTATGCCTCATATATCTGAGTATTTTTACCGTTAGTTAAATTAGGGAAATTCTCTTGGATTATTTCTGTGAATAGCTTTTGTAGTCCATTTGTTTGTGTCCCCACTTCTTCTCTTATGTTCTTAATTCTTAAGTTATAGATCTTCTTATCATCTTCTAGTTTTTGTATTGTTGCTGTTTGTTTTTTTGTTATTTTTAAGAAGTTTTTCATTTCATGCTCCCACATTACAAATCTGCCCTCCAGTTCAGATAATCTATCCTTAGTTTCTTTCAAGCTGTTATGCCAGTTTTTGATAGAGTTTTTAGTTTCCTGCTAATCTCTTTGAACCTGCTTCACGTATTCTACGTGTTTTCTATTTTCTCCATCAAATAATTCTCCCCTCTTTTTCTGTTCTTCCATTCACCATCTGCTTTTTCTTGGGTGGTGCTTAGCTTTCTCTGACTATTCTGCTTATGTCTTGCTTCAGGTCATTAATAACTTCATTCCTTAATTCGTCCATGAGGCTCTGGAGATAGCCTTTTATGTCTATTGGTGGTGTGTTTGCTATTGCCTGTTTCTCAGGATTGGGGGCCGAGGAGCCTTTCTTGTTGCTCCCTCTTCCCATATTCTTTGTTCCTTATATATGCAAGTGTGTATAGAAGGCCCAGCTTCCTTCCCTGTCAGCCACAGTCTGACTGAATTTTGCCAGCTAGGTCTTCCCACCCACTGCAGCGCACCAGGGAGTTACAGACCAGACAGTCTATGCGGGGCCTGCCCCTCCAGGTCAACCTACCTAAAGGCATCACCGCTAGGGTGCACCTTCAGGTGCTGGGATCTGGGTTGTGCAAGCCTACTGGGTCTCAGCCAGCAGCATCATGTAGGCCAGGCACTGCTCACCAATCCCGCTTGAGAGAAGGATATGTGACTGAAGTCCCTACAGCTCCCTGTTCCAGCAAGTCTGCCCGGTCCCAGAATGTCCTCTGTTGGCACCTCCTAGATTGTGGGAGAGTCCTAGTTTCCCTCACTCACCGGAGGTCGATGCACGGCTCCCCGCCCACCCAGCTCTTAATTCCGTTCACTGATTCCTGTTCTCTCCCTGCCGAGCTGATTCAGATGCAGCCGCAGCGGCAGGCAAATCACAGCTTTCAATGGCGCGGGCTCCAGCTTCCACACTCAGGCTTTATCTGTTCCTGTTATAGCACCAGGATTGTATTCCCAGTTGGTATCTCTCAGTTAGTTCTTGAGTCAGCAGGGTATATCTCCTTTTGGTTAAGATTCCTCCCTCTGCACCAGAGGATTCCACTCTCTGGATTCTAAGCTGGGTCTCGGAGAGAGCCTGCGTAGCTGCTGCTATCTGTCTGCCATGTTCCAGAAGTTCTCCACCTTTGTTCTTTTTTACAGAAAATATCTATAAGCTTCTATAGGCATATCCTCTGTACGTTTTGTTGGTTTTAATGCTTTTTTAAGGAAAATATGAGATTAATTGGTTATTTTCCAAGTTGCTCTAGTGGTCTGTGGACTGCAGCCCAATTAATAATTTTAAGATGAAATGGAGGATCAAACATATGTAAGAGGGTAAAAGCTGATTACACTGCTGAGATTCAGAAATAACAGACTCTAAGACACACTCTTCCACCACCCATTTCTTTTTCACCCTTGGCTCTGCTTAAAGCTAAGACTCCTAGCAAATAAAGAAAATTTAAGTACAATATTCATGACTTTACACTTGTAAGTGGGAGAATATAATAAATACGTGTACAAAGTGACTAAACGGACTCTAATGGAAAAGTATTGAATTAGGTGAGTTTTCTAATGTATGCCTTTTTTGATTATCAAGGCAAATTGATATACCATGTGCTGCAGGAGGGATGTGACCTTTTATACTTGTTGTCTTCCCCATCGTGGGATCAAATCCAGAGGAGATCTTCTTTTGTTTTCTTGCATGCAAATTGATGATACCTAAAACACTACAGTGCTTCATTCATATAGCTGACTTCCTTCTTTAATCTCATTCTGTAGTGGTCAGGCTTTGAAACTGTATTCCCAGAGACTTTTTTTATCATGCTCTGTGACTCCCCTGCCAGCTGAATTTTTCTGTTTTTGTTAGTGAACTTTGCATTGCTGTGACAAAAATGCTGGAGATAAGAAATTCAGAGGAATAAAAGTTTTACCTTACTGCACAGTTTTAGAGGCTTCAGCCCACAGTCAACTGGTTCCAAGACAATAAACATTATGAGGGAAGGCTGCTCACATTACGGCAGCCAAATAGCAAAGAGAGAAGGAGGCAAGGCAAAGAGGCAGAGCCTGGAACAAGGTGTTCTGTGCCAGGTCGTGGCTCCATGATCTACTCCCTTCAGCTGGGCCCCATCTGCAAAATTTCCATTACCCCCTCAAAAGCCATTGAATTAGATCTCATCTATGGATTAATCTGATAAAATCAAAGTTCTTATGATCCAGTCATCTTCTGAAAGCACCACACATGAAATTTTTTGGTAAACATTTTAGATTTACACAAGAACATGACTGCTGACTTCATTTTTGCCTTATACGCCGTGACCCATAGTCTGCTTACATTAAAAGTGCCCTGCTTGTAACTTTTCATGACTATCTGACTGCCTTCCTTTGGTAGAATCATGCACTTGTGTATCACCTGGTTTTATCTTGAGGTCCAGCTCTTGTTTTTCAGAAACTCCCTTTTAACTGTCATCTTTGTGAATCATGTGTTGCTGAAATAGCTGACCCTTGACCTTACTGGTTTGCTCCAGTCACTAGCCTCCCCAACACTGTGGAACGCTAGATACCTAGCATTTCTATTTCCACTTTGCCTCATTTTATTGCCACTTAAACTTGTTTGTGAAGACTACCTCTGAAAAGGTAGTATTCAATTTCATTCACTGGGATTCTGTTTACAACTGTATGGCCAGCGGTATTACACATTCCTGCTTCCTCTGAAATTAACATCACTTCTCATATATTTATTGGAATATGTAGATATTTGGTTTTGTTTGATGTTTATAAGTCTTATATATGCCAGCAGTCAGTATTTTTGTTTAATGACACCAGTAGATAAACTTTCCTTGAACTAATAAACTAGTTTACAACTGAACTCCATGTATAATCTGATTAATTCGCTAATCATAAGAAAATAGGTTTTGAACTCAGTCATAATGGAACTAATGCATCTCAGCATTCAGCTATGAATAGTTACCTCAAATACTTTTCAGGGAGAACATGCAACTGTCCTTCTGAAAAGCCTTTAAAAATAGCTGTATCCCAGAGTGGTAATAGCAATTCATGCTGCTATTAGTCATAAATTTGTCTATGCCTTTTACGACTCCATCTGAGCTTCCTAAGGGAACAACTTATGCCAGTGCATGACAGTCACTCTCATTGTATCAAAAACAAAGAGAGAAACAGGTACAGAGGGTGATGGAGCCAGAGAAAATTTTATCCTTTCTGCTAATAAAGTGAATCAGAAGTATATTTTGATCTAGGAAAGTAGAGGTAGGTAGAATTGTCAAATATTTTTATATATTTGACATCTTTAGTATGATATAATAGAATGAATATAGATTTCAAAGTCAGAATTATAGTTTTAAATTGTAGCTCTACCCTTCTATCTTTGAAATATCCTCTCTGAACTTCAGTTTTTTTCATCTTTAAAAAAATTAAGGATAAAGCCATTTAGTCTGAATGTCCATTGCTAGATTTGAAAATAGCAATAAAATCATTTGGCACTTTGGATATAATTAATACGTGGAAGTATAACAGTAATAGTAATTTGCTATAATCTCATTTGGAAATATTCTTTCAATTAAAATTTGAAAGACAGAACTAAAGAAATTAGAGTTTTGTTTAGTTTTGATACACATAGGCACAACTCTCATAGGGATCACAGTCTCTAATTATCCTGCCTAATATAGTGGCCGCTAGTTGTATATGATTGTTTATATTTAAACTTTAAGAATTCAGTTTCTCATCTGTACTAACCACAATTTAAATGCTCAGCTGCCACATGTGGTCAGGAATAAAGCTGAAAAGAGAAGACAGGAATGTGTCCACCACTGCAGAAAGTTCTGCTGGGCAGAGCTGGTCTGCTCGGAGACTATCTGTGGGCTCTGCTGCTTCTGTCACAAGACACCTGCTCACGGTCTGCCCTTCCCAGCATGAGGAATGAGACGGTAACTGTGTCTGATTCTCTTTCTACAGGTAAACTGGCTTCTCGGTCCTGCTCCTTTACTTTATTTCACAAAACGTCAAGGCATTTCTAATTTTAGGCCACTTATCAGAAGTCTGTTCCTGTTTCAAGGTATGTATTCACAAGTTCGGTTCAGACTTTCACTTTTGGAAGGATAACATAAAACTCTATACAGAAATAAGTGAGTTCTTAACTTCAGATAATATTAAAAACCTCTCATTATAAAATTCCAGGTATAAAATTGGTGTCAGAGGATTGCCATGATCTGTGTCTTTCCAAAAGTCATCCGTTGGAACCTAACCCAATGGTACTGAGAGACAGATGTCGATGGCAACAGGTCATAAGACCTCTGCCCTCCTGGGTTTGTTTATTGCCTTATAAAATAAGAGCCTTTTCCACTTCCACATAGGTGGATACATAAAAGACACCACTCATGAGGAACAGGTCCTCATCAGACATCAAACCTGCCATTGCCTTGCTTGTGGACTTCCTAGGCTCCAGAAGTACAAATAGTAAAATTTCTGTTGCTTATAAATTACCCAGTCTAAGGTATTTCATCATAGCAATCTGAACAGATTAAGACAGGGATCTAGCCAGGCATGGTGATGCATGCCTCTAAGAGGCTGAGGCAAGAGAATTGCAAATTCAATCCCAGCATGGGTAACTTCACAACTTAGACAATGTTTCAAATTTAAAAATGAAAAATGTGGGGCCAGGGATTTAATTCAGCAGCATAAACACCTGCGTGGCAAGTGTGAGGTTGTGAGTTCAATCCCTGGAACCAAAAAAAAAAAAAAAAAAAAAAAAAAGAAAAGAAAAGAAAAATGTGATAGGAGGGTGGTTCATTTCCAAGGTCCTGGGTTCAGTCTCCAGTAACACACACACACACACACACACAGATCTGCCAGTCCCTTATCCTCTGATCGTACCACCTGGATACATTAAACTGTGCTATCTCTTAGAAGAATCATACTTTTGAAGATAAGCACTTGCTCAGCGCGTTCTGTGTGTTAGTGTTGCCCATATATTAGCATATACGAAATGGTTACACAAGAAGAGTGTGAGATTCTGCAGCCAGGTGAGATGTTTCATAATGTTTGATGAGTAGTGTTCTAGTGTTTAGTTAGAGCAGCAGAGAGATCATAGTTGCTTGGACCTGATCAGGAAATTACTTTTCCTGATAAGAGGTGCTAAGCTTTCAGTGTTTCTATTGCCATAATAGGCAGAGAACAAAAGTTTGAGAGAGACAGAAATGGAGGGTTGCAGGACAAAGAAAAGACACTCCCATTGTGTAACAGTCATTTAGCAGGGATCCTTGGAAAAAGCAATCCCTTTAAATATAGCAGGTGATGGCTATATCTAAAACCAGCATTTTGAACATGCTAATAAAGAGAAGATTCTTTTCATTTAATACATGAGAGTGATAATCTCATATAAAACAATCTGGGAACATGGTGTACTAGCACAGACCTGTAATTCCAGCTACTAGGAAGCCTTAGTGGTAAGTTCAAGCCCAGCCTTAGAAACTTAGCAAGATTCTGTCTCAAAATAAAACATAAAGGGCCAGAGATTTAGCTCAGCAGCTCAAGCACTTGCCTGACAAACCAAGGTCATGAGTTCAGTCCCCAGGACCCCCCCCAAAAAAACAAATATAGAAAAGAAATAAAAATAAGACATAAAAAAGACTGCAGGATATAAATAAGTGGTTAGTGCATCCACAGATACAATCCCTGGTACCATAAAAACAAAATAAAATGAAACAAAATATCCTGGAATCCAAATAGCACAGAAAAAAGCATAAGATCAGTGAGATCTGGAAGTCTGATAAAAGATCAGAATCCTGATCAGATTAGAACAGAAAACTTTAGTAATCACACTGAAAGGCATTAACAAGTCAACAACCCTCCTTGAGAAAGAAGGACTTTAAATTGGTATCAGAATTTTCACTGTATATTAAAGATTTATTAATTGAATTTTATCACTGTATAGAATATAAATCTGTCTTGTATTTTTTAAAAATCCTATGTTAAATTCACGTCCTACTTCTAAGTCATAGCTTTCAGAGTCATCACTCATACGCGAGAGAGGTATTTGGATTGGCTGGATCACGTTGCTTTGGATTTGAGAATGCGTGCCCTGAACTGCGACCTGAGGAGGACAGCACTGTACTAGATGCACCTGAGCGGGGCCTGTACCTGTTCTGTGGCGGGCCTTGGAAGGGAACAGACACCAATACGGACTCATGCACACAAAAAGTGCTCCCAGGATGGAAGTAGCTACTATTCTAAAGCAAGTTTGTTTTGGAGAAAGCCAATTTGTCAAGCAACAGACTCACAATAAACCATTTTAGCAAAAACCAATTCACAAGAATCCACTGTTTCATTACTGGGTTTAAAAAATATATTTTTTTAAATTTTAATTTCAGTTTCTCCTCAGGGTCACAGCAGGTATCTCGCCATGAGCGCCTCAGTGCAGCTCAGCTGCCCCTGAATCTGTAGTGTGCCTCAGATGTTGGATACCAGGCGACGCCTCTCACGCGGTCACTCTCATGGGAAAGGGTGAGCGTGGGTGCTGCACACTCGTCTCCATTCGTGAGGGCTGTGTCCAGCTCCTCCTTCTGCACCTGCTTCGCTTCTACTTCTCACAGCAAAACGGCAAAGACCTTGTCTAAGGTTTTTATTTCTAAGTCTTCATTTTTGTTTCAATTAGTTAGTTGGTTTTTCAGTGAGTTAGCTTTTAGTAAATGAGTCACTCCGTGAAATGGCCATGAGTTGCATGATCATCTCGGGAACGGAAAGCAGTTGGCTTCCTTTTTGCCCACCTTGAAGCCAGTGCATGCTTCGGAGCTGGCTCTAAGAGTACTTTAAACACACAGCCTTCTCAGACCTGCACAGTGAGTTTTTCAGTGTTTGAATCATATTTCCAGTCATGTTTGTAGTCATTCTCATTCCAATGTTATGATTTTTGTGTTACGTGCATTGTACCTGTACTTTTATTTAATGACTCAGTTTCTAATTTTAATATTGCTACTACACTTTAAAGGACATTTTCAAACTATCTTACAGAAGAAGGGCAAAATATGTCACCTCAAAATACATCACTCTGCATAAGGTTTATTTTAAACTAAAAGCACTTCAATAAACACCAGGTGCAAGAAGAATACTTTGATCTCTGTCTCTGTCTCTGTCTCTCTCTCTGGGGTGTGTGTGTGTGTGTGTGTGTGTGTGTGTGTGTGTGACTGAGGTTGGATCCATCACACTGAGCTACATCCCCAGCCCTTTTCTCACTTTTCATTTTGATACACAATCTTGCAAAGTTGATGTTATCCAGGCTAAACTTGAACTGGGGACCCTCCAACCTCAACCTCCCAAAGTTCTTTTTTCTTTTTAAAGCAGAAGATAAAATTTCAAGCCAAACTATCCCCTCTGATCATCACGCAGAAACACGCTGATCATCAAAAAGGCAGAGGTAAAACTGAGAAAAATCTGTACAAACAAATCTTGTTAAATTAACCTTTACCTTCTAGTCACTTCACCATTAAATGCTGTGGCTTAAAATCCTTTGGTCTTATCACATGTTTGTAATTTACTGTTCTCTGCCCAATTCAACATACAAGTGTTCAACTCTAACCACTTTGTTGGGGGTCCTTAAAATATAGCCCTGGGTCCTATAAAATTTGCGTTAAATGAATGTATATGTTTACCTCTCCTTTTAATCTGTTTTACTTCAATTTAATTCTCAGGCCCAGCTGAAAACCCTGAGGGTAGAGATATAATTTTGCTTCCCTTTTAGTACTGAACAAAAATATCTATGAATTCACAAGTTTGGCACGCCAGTTTTATGTAATGTATATTACTGTATATAGATAACATATTTAAGAGCACATAAAATATCACTATTTGGATCAAAAAATTTATCTCTAAACGACTTACGTTCATCTCACATATGAATACACTCTGGAACCAGAGTTGAAATCCAGAAACTGACGGCCCCAGGCAGTCAGTACTCCAGGATGCTGGCTCTCAGCCGCAAGCACACTCTGACTCCGACCCAGGCCGGTGGACTGTCTTGGGACAGTGATATGAGGTGTGACATTTTGTGAAAGGTTCCAGTTGGCTGGAATCAGAGTCAGCAACCACTGTGCTAAGCCGTACCACTCTGGTGAATCCATGAAACTGGGTTATTCCTTCAAGTTCCAAGTAGAGGTTGTTTATACCTTGCCCCAGCCACTAACACAGTAGCTCCTCTGAATCAGTGTTGAGCTAATTAATACTCAAGAGGAGTGAGTGATGAACGAACTGGGCAGATGACTTGGTTCCGCTCTGAGTAGAGGTAAAGCACTAAGGCGAGCAGATCGCCCCAATGATGAAAGCAGCAGGAGTTTCCTGCAATTCTGTCTTTTGATTTTTTTTTAAGTTCCTTCTGTGCTACTCTTCACTGTTTTGATCCAAACAGGGTCCCTGTGGCCCAGCCTGTTTCAGATTTCCCCCTTGTCCTTGAGCTTATCTTTTATCTGCCTTAGTTTCTTCATTAAAATATAAAAAATGATGTCTGAGCCAGTTACTAAAGCTAATAGCCTTCTCCATTGGACTTCTATCTTGCTAGAGGCCTAGTGAATAATACTTTGTCTTAAAAATGTACCCAGTGAATGTGTACATTTCTAGAATGATTAAAGAAGTAACATGAATTATACCAAAATTTACTCTCCCTTTCCCACCCCCTCACCCAAACTGAGCATTTGAACAAACCCAGGGTGGGCTTTGACTGTGTTGGCAAGAGTGTGGACAACTCTGTGCATGTGTGTTTGCAGTGTGCATATGTGTGTCTTGCCCAAAAATTTAAAAACAGCCTGAGCGAACTAAGTAAGTGTATGCCACGCCCACCTGGAATATTAGGAAGCAAAAGCCCTTAAATATCTGAATTAGATTTGGCGCTGTTTCAGGAAAGAACTGGCTCACATCTCTTGCATAAGACTTATGTAAGAGGTTAGATGTGGTGCCTAAACTATTCCAGCTATCTGTAGCACGGGGGAAAGCAAAGCATGCTGCACTGTTGACACTCTTCCCTGTCCCAGTGTCAGCCTTGTCTCTGCAGCTGGAGTGAAGCACTTCCAATTCAAACCCAGAAAATAAAAAGAAAAAGCTTTGTTTTTCTAGTATTTACCACCATATTCAGAAATAAATCAAAAGAAGAAAGCTAAAGCAAAGGAGAAATTTAGAAATTGATTAGACATTTACATGTGTTATACAAATGACAGCAAAAGACCACATTCCACAATAAATATTACAGATTTTTTCTCACATCTTATGAAATAGTCCTTCAAAATGTAGAGCACAATTTGCTGTTGTATTCATCTTACATTCTGAAAAGTATTTTGATCAAATCTGATTTGCAGATATTTTGAGCAAAACAGAAATGAAGATCAGGTCAGACATGACCCAAATATCCATATACATACATGTATACACAGATATATTTTTACACATATTTTTTCATGGAGCTGTGTGGTAGAGAGAAATGCAGTTGAATTGTAGAGACATACCAAGCAATACAAGTGCAATTACCAGTACTGCCACTTACTTGCCATATGATCCAAGGAAATTACTTAATTTCTTTGGGCTTATTGTCACTTTTGAAAAATGGCAACATCTACTACTTTGGGTTTTGGTGAGGCTTTAAATTTACGTTAAAAATTTGTGTTTGAGAGTTTACTGTGTAACCAGCATAATCTCCACACTTCATCTAGAAAAAAATAATCCAGTTCTCAGGTCAACCACGTGGCATAGGTATTACAATTATTCCTCCTTCTCAAATAAGGAAAGCCAGACCAAAGTCACCTGGTCAGTTGATTTAGGCAACAGACTATATACTGAGGTTGTGTGACTCCAGAAACAGCAGCATTTGTAGTAACAAATGAATAGCAAACTTAGCAAACACAAGACCCATATTGAGTTCTGCTGATTGTCATTACGCTTAACCCTCCTCTGTTTTCAGAAAAGAAATTATACAATGAAGCAAAACATCCTCCCTGAATTCTGGAGTACCCACTGGTGCTCGATATAGCCACAGATGGCCATTTACCACTTTATTCACAATTTTAGCAGCTTGAGGTAGAAGGAATTAAAAGCAGATTTAGTGATCTATCAAAAGCTTGAAATAATTAAAACAAACCGGAAATATCTTCATAGAGAAATCTCAGTTTAGAGTGGTTATCAGGAAACAGAAAATCTGCAAATGTATTTATTTGGTTTATGTGAGTTAAGACACCATCCTGCTTGTTTTAGTCATAAACTTTCTTTACATTTTGTAATGAGATCAATAGGGGATATAACTACTATCCACAATACTGGGTATAGAGTAAATGTCAGTCAGCTTTAAATTATTTTATTATTACACTGTCTTCTATATAAATTTTTGAGAATCTATGAAGTGATAAATGTACCTTTCCTTCAGAAATTTCACAACAAGAGGAAAGTTTAGGGTAAACTTCACTGAGTTTGGTAGAGCAGGCAACTACTTAGATAAGAGGTGGACCCAGGGGAATAGCAGCTGGACTGGAGAAGAAAACCACAAACAGGTAGTGGTCTAACTCTCCTGGGTGTGCGCTCTCATCGTTTCCTGAGGGAGATTCACCTCCCATCTTCTTTGGTCCATATCAGTAGATGTCAGGGGCTCATCATTGGATATCCAGCTCAATGTGGAATTTTGCCTGAGTACAGTGGAACACAATTCAAAACCAAGTAGCTCTACTTGAACATTAGCAAAGTAAGTGCTGTTACCTCCACTGAGAACTAATTCTGCCGCTTCAGTTTCTTTAGGTTTGAATGTCTTGAAAGAAATATGTAAGCAAGAGTTCACTGCTCAGGACCGAGGAGGTTATTTTTACATACATTTTAGTATGTGTTTCACTTTACCACTTACGATGGCTTTGAACACCAAACTTGGTGGTTTGAACCTTTTTTGTTTGCTTGCTTGATTGCAGCAGATAAATCTTGTCCATGTGTCACTAAAATGGGAATGTCATTTGTATGTGAATTTTGTGCCTATACTACTGAGCTCTTTTATTCAGAAACTCTCATCACTAAATTTTGTGTACGGTTGTAAGAAGTGGAACTATTTTGAGAGCAAAGCTTACTGAAAGAAATTATAAAGGTATACCTTAGTATTTCAGGTGATTAATCTTTACATCTTGCTGATAGTTCTATAATCAGACAATATTCTGGAGCATAATAAATCCTTGTGGTGATGTTTGCTACTGATGAGATTGCATATATGACTATATTTCAAAAATTTTCAACATTTTATTTGTTTGATATACTTCTGAAAATTTTTGATCATCTTTTATTTTTGGCATAT